GGAAAAAGTACTACATTCGTATTTATTTCCGGGGCAAATACTTCATCTATGACGACAAAAACTGCACAATGACGTGTGCATGCTATAACCTGACGTATTTATTTTTTACAATTTTGGAACAAGTATATCTTACATAAGGAGCGTTTTTGCTTACAGTTTTATGAACATTTCCGTTTCAGATGTCATGCAAAAAACTCCGACAAAATGGCACACCCTGGAACATTCGCGTTCAACATGCCCACTGGAATTAATTCCCGTTATCACGCATCCATCCTTGTGTGTAGGATCTGTGATGCAAGACCTTATATTGTTGTAGACGTTGATGTATACGTTGATTAATTTCATTTTTGTTTAATGATTATGAAATCCGGAACACCACTGCTTAAAAAAGAAAATTACATCTTGAAGATATCTTAATGTACAATTATTATATTGACTGTAATCATTTTAGCAATTTTAAATCGCAAGCATATTTTATCCAGAATTAAAGAGAAATTTAATCTTTCAGTTGAGTTGTGTATGCAACACAACGTATGCCTTTAACCAAAAAAATAAATATAATGCAAACACTAATCAAGACTTTTTTTTCATTGTAAAGCTGAAATAACTGCAATGTTGCAGGGGTGAAATATTGGTAAGAAAAAAAAATTGTTTTACAAGTACATGTAATGCATAATTAACTTTTTTTTTTTTAATGGAGTTCCCACATAATTATGCTTTACCAAAAAATCAGAAATTCCTTTTTTTTGCCCACCTCTCAAATATTTTCATTGACGATCGCACCCAAAATGAACATTAAACGGTTCACGATATGAAGTTTCCGACTGACCTTATTTTGTGCAAATGTCCATTTTTCCAAAATGTATGAGAACTACCTACGTGAACAACTTTTTTGGAGGAGAAAAGTCCATTTTTTTACAACTTAATGCTTCAGGTGAGGGGCTTTCTGATCAAATTGTGAACCCTAATTTGTTGGTAACTGAGAAATAAGTTTGTTCTGAGACTTATTTGTTCCTGTACTGATACAACAAAGTATCACCAAAGCTAAAAATAGTGTCCTTTTAACCCTAAAGGGGCCGGGTTATTTTGACCATCTCTCAGCCGGGGGGGGGGGGGGGGGGCGGATTACGCCCCCCCCTAAGATCTCGGCCATCGAGTGACGAACAATTTTGAAACTCGGCACATGCATAGAGCAACTCTTCATAAACATACCATACCCAAGAAATTTCATGACTATAGGTCAAAAGGTTTTGGAATTATGGCCAATTAATTATTCATATGTACGGATGGCAATTCTGCTCTGTGTACACGACGTATATGCGAAAATTCAGTTTTCACGGCGCGTAGCGCTGGAAAATTTTTCGCTACGCGGCAACCCGTGGTCCGATTTTTATGTTTTTGGTATCAAAAGATGCGCAAAGCTCGAGGCTAAAAAGTCATAACAGCTCGGGTCGCGAATTTTTTTTTTAGAGGCTATCACGGAAAATGTTGAGGGGGGAGGGGGGCGGATTCCGCCCCCCGGCCCCTTTAGGGTTAAAACTCCGAAATTTCTAGAAACTATTAACACGAAGTATAAGGCCTATGTATGCAGAGGTATATGTTGATGTGGATGCAGTTTTTGTTTTCACTTTTTTATCCTTGCCATGGAGTTCGACAATATAATTTTCGAAGTATATAATAATGTATGTATAACTGGTGTATAATTAAGGTGCATTTTATGCTCTTGTAGTATTGTTTGAACACATAAAATCAGTATTGTTTTCAAATAAACCATCGATGCTCAAGTGAATTAAATAAAGTCTTCTTTAGTAGATTATGTGTTATACCATTGGTCACGACGTTACAGCGTTTTTTTCTCATCCTGTACACCTTTACAACAACTTTTTCGATTTGATTAATTATTCACATTAAAAAAGAGTCTACAACAACGAACGGAGTCCACCGAAGTTACCGTCGTTCAATCGATTTGAATTAAAATACAAGTACTTTGTACGGTAACCAATGTATGCTAAGCATTTGGTTTATTTGAACGCGTCCTTGTGGTTCTATACGACTGATTTTGATTACGATTTGTGAATCTTCACTGATCTAATACTAGTTATTTTGCCGTGGGTGGTTTTAAACGGTTGATAAAACACCAACTAGTTTTAAATACTACTTTCCGGTGTCACATGAATTTGGACTACCTCAAATCTGGTTCAATTTACCCTTTTATTGGTCGAACGTTCTCAAGCTCCACTTAGGCATGCGCAATACTACCAATGAGTCTGTATGCCATCGAGTTGTAAATTCACGCTACACCGGCACCGCCGCATTCTGCGCTACTTCGCGCAATATGCGCCACGCTCGCCAATCTCCACATCAGGACATTTTTAGAACCACTTGCGAGGGGTACAAACATTAAACATAGCTAAAGGGGTGTTTTACAAAACATACGAAGTAAAACTGTTCAACAAAATCGTTGGAAATTTATGAATATTGACATGTTTTGTGTCAATATTCATATACAACCACATATTGACATGATGACATCTGGCATTACTTCCGATCATACAATCATCCCTCCTCCTGATGTTAATCATAAGGATCATCTTGGGATTGCAAACAAAATCAATGACTGTTTTACTTCAGTTGCGAAGGATCTTGATCCTCTGGATTTGACATCACTACCTGCATATTTGCCATCCCCTGATCCATGTCCTTCAGTTCAGGTATGGGAGGTTTACAGAGAGCTTAAGAAAACTAGATGTAGGAAAGCAGGTGGGCCAGATGGAATCCCAGCACCGATAATCAGTGAATTTGCATATGAATGGAGTAAACCCCTCGCCAACATCCTTAATTCATCTTACCAAGAATGTGTGGTTCCAAATCAGTGGAAAAAAGCAATTATTATTCCGTTGCCGAAGAGTTCTCCCCCAACTTGGAACAAACTCCGTCCGGTGTCTCTAACCGATCATTTTGCCAAACTAGCCGAGCATTTTGTTGTTCAATGGATTACCTCAGATATCCACATGAATTTGGATCCCAACCAATTTGGTAATATGAAAGGAGCGTCAACAGCTCATTACCTTATCAAGCTGGTTGACAATTTGTGTTCGCATTCTGAATCTTCAAAAAGTTACAGCACAATAGTGATAACACTGAGAGTTTAGTAAGGCTTTTGATCTAGTTGACCACAATCGTCTTGTTAAGGATTTACTCCATTTGGGCACACGCTCATCTGTTATCCCCTCGATATGCAGTTTTTTGACTGATCGTTCCCAGTGCGTCAGGTACAAAAACTCGTTATCTGAATTCAATGTTTTGAATGGTGGTCTTCCACAGTGGACTAAATTTGGTCCCTTGGGTTTTCTTTCCAAATTTAGTGATGCAGTGAGTTCTCGGGCTCTTACTAACAGCAAGATTCTGAGTCTGAAATATGTAGATGATATGACCATTGTTGAAAATAGTACAAACAATGAACCGAGAGTTATCCAGTCTGTCTTAGTTGAATTTAGTGAATGGGCTGTGCAAAACAATATGAAGATCAATCCTGATATATGTGCTAATATGAATGTGTGTTTCATAAAAAAAATACCTCCGTTTTCACCCATTCAGATTTCGGATACTGACCTTCAGAGAGTAGATTGTGTGAAAATTCTTGGCGTTTTGGTTAGTTCAGACCTCAAATGGGACAAGCATATCGATCACATCTTTCATAAGACTAGCAGCAACATTTTTATGCTCAAATTGTTGAAGAAATTTAACTTATCACGTTCAGACTTGTTAACAATATACAAAGGCTACATTCGTCCACTCACTAAATATGCTACACAGGTTTGGAATGCAGGGTTAACTAAAGTTCATGTTGATAAACTGGAGAGCATCCAAAAACGTGCCCTCAAAATTATACTGGGATTTGATTATGTTGATTATGAGCATGCCCTAATAAAATGCAATTTAGCTTCTCTTCAAAACTGTAGAAAGGATCTATGTCTTGACTTTGCTAACAAACTGAAAAACTCTAGCTTATTTCAGGACTGGTTACCTCAGCCGAGAAGTAGTCATGTGCAATATCAGCTTAGAAACAGTCACAACTTATCCAAAATGATGTGCAAGACTAAACGATACCAGAATAGCCCCATCCCATAGTTTGTTGAGCTTTTGAACAACAGTTCCAAGTCTTAACTCCCGTTCATACTAGAATTTGATAATCAAAAAAAAATATAGATACATATATAATAATACAAAATCCTATTTAATTCATGTACTGCATTCCTAGGGAAAAACATAAAAACCACAAAAACAAACAAACATTTTTTATCATGTACTTTTCTGGTAGAGTGCGCCTTTCTTATATTCCGATGTGCAAATCTTAACTCATTTTTTTTTCATGTACTGTATTCTGATATTTGTATGTACGATGGTAAATGTTTTAGTAAATTTGTATTTCTGATTTTGTGTTTGTAATTTGTACGCACTGTAACAATTTAGCCTCTGGCTACACAAACACAATGATTAATAAACCAGAACAATAATAATAATAATAATTATGTTTTGACTTTTTGACCGAGAGGTATTTTGGGGCCCAATTAGCCATTTCAATTTGTTTAATACTGGCCAAGCACATAATATTTCTTCCCTCGTTGTTAATTAAGGAGGCTTCATACTTCACGCGAATGCGAAGCGAATTTGACGTCACAAAATTATCGCTGCGAAATTAGCGGGAGCTGAAATGTGCAAAATCGCAATTCGCAGCACGAAAACTTGTCTTAACGTCACAAATTCGCGTTCACCCTGACTAAAACCACGAATACTATCCATCAATAATGAACAAAACTCTCAATCACAATCATTATGCCTAATCAGTGTGTTTGGTGACTGTTGATGAATCAAATCTATATTTTTTAGTTCATTTAATCTAACACAACAAGCACTTTTGTTGGAATATATTAGCATCCAATGCTTTAGTGGAATTAATCAAGGCGACATCCAAAAGCAGCTCCAATCGCAGAGCACACCAATTCGGACATTCAGAAGGCTCGATGTATATAACCGTCGCCACCACACTCTCATCGAACAGGCGAGTGACCGGGTGTTGCTATTTGTGTTACCGACGAACACCTGCAAGGAAAACAAATTTATCAATGTTGTATGTATATCCAGAAGATTGGAAAGTAGGCTTTGGAAAATAGTGAATTCCACTTATTGGACAGTACAATTCCATACAATTCTTTGTGTTTCGTTTATGACTCTTGATTTGTTCATACCTCCAACTAATTGGTTTTACGTAAAAACATATCATTTTTTTTATTTTGCAAAGAGTGAACCTCGTCTTTATTCTGTTGGAAAGAGTTTGTGGTTTGTCTGGGATTGTTGATTTTAATAATTTGTTCGTGGTTAATGTGTTCGTTTTTCATATAAATGCGGGACAAGATTTCTTGTTTCAAGGTAACAGTGTATGCGGTCCGAAATAACAACAAAAAAGATCAAAGTTCAAATAGAGCGAAGTTAAAATAAAATCAATATATTTAAAGGTTGAAAATCGGGACTAAATATACAAATAGCGTAATTGCTTTATTTTCTTTAAAAAAAAAAGAATGTACCTTGATGTCTCCGTTCACATCTTTGACACGTTCAGATTCATATGAGGGCTGCTTCTTATATGCCACCTTGTACTTCGTTGTTACCAACGAACTGCGTGTGGATTTCTGCCATCCTTGTGTGGTGACCCCAGACACCACTGTACTCTGAAGGAGGTCCACCTCGATCCAGGCATCCAAGCATCTAGATACACAGATTGAGGGTAACGGGGAAAGGGGAAAATTGTTGTATTCAGCAACATTCTCCTTTGAAATGATTTCTGTTAATGGATGTAATTATTTTCTTAAATTTAAGTGCTTTTGGTAACAATGATGAGATCAGATATACAATGATTATATTCTTGCGTGTAAAGTGCTAGGTCTAGTATTTCCTCTTGACACCTACTTCAGTGGTACCCATGCAATATTATTGTGGAGGCGTGCCATCCAGGCAAGACAACAGCCATCCCCGCTGGACGCCGTGATGTGATCATTAGGGATTGTTCCGTCCTGCATACCAAGGGCCTCTGAATTCGAACAGTTCACTGTTGCTAGAATTGGAATAAAAAAAAAAACCCAAAGAGTGACGAAGCCAGCGGGGAGGGGGTTCTACGTCTCTCTTATTTTGTAAATAGTGCACTTTTTTTCAAAAGTTCCTTTTTTCCAGGAGTGTCCTTTTTTAACTTGTGCCCGTTTTGAAATGTTGCGCGATGAAAAGCACCACCTATTGTCAGATAGTACCCATGATCGTCAGGTTTGAACAGTGCCTCAATAAGAATATGGTGTCCAGCACTCCATCCCCACCCCCTGCCAACCCTGCCCCAACAAACCCATCCCCTCCAACTCAATCCCGCTTTGATAGAAAATATTTGGAATGTGTCCATCAAATTGTTTTTATTCTTGAGAGGTGCTCCTTTCGACCAAAACTCATCCTTCAGAGAAATGTCTATCGAATTGGGAGTAGTTAGGTTCATTTTGGGGGCACAAAAGCAACCCCCAAAAAAAATATTTGAAAGGGCTGGTTAAAGCATGGTCTCCATATCGTTGACAGAGGGAGGCATATCAGCATGCGTTTAACGTTTATGCGGTACCCGCTGCTATGTACATCAGATTCGAACCGGCCAATCGATCCCGTTAGCTCGGTGGTCGAGTGGTAAGACATCTGCACTAGAAAGCAGGAGGTCGTGGGTTCGAGTCCCACCCGAGTGATTTTTTCCAACTTTCACTCGGGAGGTAACACACTGAGTATACAGTGTTTAAACGTCGGTGAAGGGCAAAACCTAATTTGATTTATATATCACCCCGACGCAAAATTCCTTATCATAAAAGAAAGAATTGGTTAAGCGCCCTCTTCTAATGCTCGCCGAGTTCGCATACCATACCAGCTCGCATCAGCAGCTAAGCAGACCACCGAGCATAGCGTGACGTCATTGCCAGCCAATCAGGAAAGTGCACAAACGTTAGCGCACAGATGTACATTGTTCCGATTGGCTGGAAGTCGCCCTGTGGGAGGGGCAATTTACTGTTACTAATAGGCCTAACGGCTTGTTATCTATGGAAAGAGTTGACAAAGAAATGACCTTCAATGCAGCGGAAAATATTCCAGAATCGACAACCGGAACGACGTCCATTGAAAACACAAACAGTTCATAACAAGAAAAACCTTACAATTAATTAACAATCATTGTCGCATAATACTCCCAAATGAAGCGTAGAAACATGATCTACTTTGACATTGGTCTTAAGATAAAATATCGCACATATTGAACTTGCCGTTATGTTTAATATTGAGCCTCATTTTCCATCTCCCTGGTTTTAAAGGGAATATACATCATTTGCTTTTGCTGTAATTTTCAGAAATGGATGGAATTGGGGGGTTGGAAATATATAGCAAATATAGTTACACTGACTTTTTTGAGGTTTTGGGTTCGAAAATGCTATAAAAACCAAGAAAAACAATCAATTTCCTGTAGTCTGGTTCCCTGACTCTATTTAAGAAGAAACAGAGCAGTTTACATATATTGGGGAATTGTAAGGTCAGGGAACCAGTCTAGCTTGCTTGTACCCGTTCATAGGTGTGTAATCGATTGCAAACAAGTGCGATGGTCAACTGGGGCCAGTATTTGAAAAAAAGCCAGTTTTTTCCAACGCTGATCGGCCGATCAGCATTGGAAATTGATACAAAAATACCACTTTTCTTGAAAATGACAGTATACCAGGTGCCATGATTTTACAGGATGCTTTACACTGTCATTCACTAAAGTCCAGCAAGGTATTTCAAAATGATTTGGTAGTTTTATTTTTTGATGTTTGCAAATGTTGTATTTTCCCTTTAAGCGAAGCGACCGTAATGCATTCGCTTTGCAATATTGGATCCCTGGCAATATTTAATGCCTGGCAATTATGAACGTTTTCCACAATATCGAATGAAACCTTCAATTAACGAGGTGGAAAGTTCGGTTAATATCTATAGCATATAATAATTTTGGTGAGCTAATCATCTTTACCCTTAGCTGAGAAGCTGAATTGCGAAGACATTGGCTACAGCGTAGTCGAGCCGATCATGACCAAGGAGCACAGCCAGTCATCAAAAATGTTAATTTTGCGGAGCGAGGAAAACCGGAGAAAAACCATCGTGGAACAAGAGAGAATCAACGAACAACTCTACTCACATATTATTGTCCTGGTCCGAGCCGGTAATCAAACCCAGGCCACCAAACGGCTTCTGGCTCCATGTTGCATTGATCAACGTAACCTTGCCAGCATTATATCACTGAGCCTACATCAGCGGATCCTTGAAACCACGAACCAAGAATATTTTCTGAAATTATGTTTCCATTATAAAGATAAGCACAGTTTATGATACTAGAGTCCTTTTATTTCTCATGTAGAAAGGACACAGGTGAGATCATCATATTCCAACATATGAACCAACAACCATTCAGTGTTAGTATAGGTTTTCCCGGCCAATTTCGCAAAAATATAGCATTCGAATTTATCTTGATCATGGCCAATTTGAAGCGGAGTAGCGCCCTGCTGTCATTCCCGTGGTTCGTATTAGATTTCAGGAGATCAAATTCGTTTAAAAACCTGACATTTTCATGTTTAACTCATCCTAAATTGAAGTTATGTCATTCGGTTTAAGTGATCACTCAATTTAGCAGTCGGTTTGGTCAAGGGTTATTTGCATGAGATTCTTGATTTCTTTTTCATTTCCGTGCATTCTATTTAGCACTTTTTGTATTCAAAAAAAAATAAATAAAACGAAGGCATACGACGCGAGTCTTTAAATTTCTTCCACCTATTTATCATTTCTGCTTTTCCGTTTCATTTTTTTCAAAGTGTCTACTATCTGTCTCTTTATTCTAAAGAGATAAAAATGTAAACAAATTAAACAAACACGGGGCATATGAAACAACAAACCTATAGGCAACAGTAAACTTAGGTGATGTTTTCCCTTCTTTTTATCGTGTTCACATAAATCTATATGTTCTTAATTCTTATCTTTGGGTTTTTGATCTTCTGTTTTCAAATTGTGATCTTGGTTATATATATTTGCTTATATCTCTTTAACTTTTTAGTTGTTTAATCATCTTAAATGATGAGGATACTGTCTCCTGCACGTCTGTTAGCCATAGATCTCTTGCCGTGCCAAGCATCTACATTTGAAATTCTCATGTAACGCCCATGAGCTGCCATATGCATGTTGATATTTCTAGTGCTTCAAGCTTGCAGTGCACGGTGATCAGAGTATTGGCAGAATCTTGTTGGAGACAGGTTTTTATATCCATACTTCCCAATTGGAACAAAGGCACTCCATCTAATTCTAACAAACAACGGAATGACATAAACCTATTTCGAATTCATTTGCTTAATTTTCACAGATGCCTGCTTAATGGTGAATTTGAATGACCAAACTTACACAGCTGGAAGCTCCGGCGAATTTGGATGCTCGTTTGTGCAATCTTAATTTGAATGCCCTGTTGTTAAAATTGCATGATTAAAATGTGAAATCGCAGGCTTCAAATGTTAAATTGATTGGTGTTTTTAGCTAATTGAATGTTGATCTCAACGTGCATTCAAATCAAGCTTTTCGTGCGAAATTGAGTGATTGGTCACCAATTTGGCCGCCAAATCCGCTGACCTGGCCGGGAAAACGTATAAAAACTGTAACGTTCAATGAAAAGTCAAACTGGCAATGATCGAATGCATTGCATTATAAACACCGCCAAAGAAAAGAAAAGAAAAAAAGAAGAAATTCCATGAAAGACCGGTTTTATGAAAAATGATGCACTTTACAAAGTTGCAAATTTAGAGAGTACGCGAGTCGAATGGAAATTGTTGCGTCACAATTTCATAGTTGCCCGAATTAAAGAACGGCAGGGATATACCTGGCACGATTTGAGGTAACCCCCCCCCCCATCTCGCTATGTCATATGCAAACCCTAGACTATTGTCACCTGACACATCGCCCTAGATAACTCAAAAGAATTCCTGAGATTCTGGTCACACAAAGACCAACACAAATGGGGGGGGGGGGGGGGGGGTTCCCTGCGTCTCATATCGCGTTACATATGGGCAGCGAATACCGATAGCACGTACGTGCTTGTAAGCATGGGATCACGTAAAATTGGCGAATTTGAAGCATGGCGGCCACAATATGAGGGCGCTGTTTTGTTTGGGTAATTACAAAAGACTTTACCCAAATCACACATTGCTTTCCTATTGTGTCTTCCGTACCGCGGAAAGGCTAATTGAATAACCCGCGCTTTGCTCGGGCACTGTGCTGTCGATAGGCGATTTAAGCATATTGTGGGCTATGAACTTGAGGGTTTATAAAAAATAAGGATGGAAGCCGTGCGAAGGACCGTGAGCTTGTATTTCTGTAAAATTTGGATGAAATTGGGGTCACAACACAGCCCTCTATTTTGCAATGGAGTGTAAGGCACCGTATTTCAAAATGGAGATGGGCTTCAGGACAATTTTAAGGGGTAATCACCGTTGAATGGAAATTTCTCCCCAAAGTCATCGGATTACCCCAAAAAAATTGACAAGAAAATGAAAGATGATGAAATAAGCTTTAATTTAATGTGTGTCTCGAATACCTGTTGTGAGTATTTTCGCTGAATATCTGAAGGGGGGGGGGGGGGCATTTAGCAATGGGTATAAGGCAGTTATATATTTACCAGTGAATTACGGTCATGTGTGTTTGCGTTTGCAAGTTCTCCTCGCGTATTTCTTTAATTTCAACTTTTCAAACTGCATCGTTTTTCATAAACCGTTGTCAATCTCGGACGATTAACAGTCTTTGGTAGCAAACAGGCATATCAAAATGAAGCTAAAAAAAATACAATACCATAATACAATACCATAACTTTTCGATGGACTTATGATATTATCTGAGACATTCGATGCCTTGGCTCAATACAGGGGAGGGGCGGAGGGGGGGGGGGGGGCTGAGAAGAGCGCGAATGATGGTCTGTGCGCCACTTCCATTCGTAAAACAGGGGTGTGCAAAATGGTGATAACGGAAATATCCCTTTTAAAGTCGTTATTTGTCTGCTTTCTGATTTCTGCGAGCATAACGCAAGCACCTGTTCTATACCGAATGTGTATATTAGTCTAGTATTTAAAGACCAATTCTAGAAAAGAATCTGTATTAATTTGCTTCGTTCTATCGTGCAGTGAATCACATACGCCGACACATGGTGGTTGCCCGCGATGTGCGCGCGCTGCTGTCAATGA